AATAATGTCCAATGGGGACTATACAATGTATTAGACTTTAGTATCAATGATGTAATTTTTAATAAAAAAATTTTTTTTCGCATTACCGTCATTTTTCGGAAAATTAGAGGGGTACAGTTACTTATGACCAGTATAGTATGTGCATAGTTGAAGAAAAATCTCGTAACATCGAAATCGGTTACCTCCAGAACATCATGCAACTTGAGAGTGCGTACCACACCAATAAGAAGAAGCACACAACAGATGAAGCTTTCAAAGATTATAATTATGATTATCTCTATGGAATAGTATCTACAGGTATTTATATCTTACCATTCCCACAATAGAATTTTTGTCTCTGTCACAACTAATTTACAAATTTATTTTTAGCAACAGAATGGAATTTTATCATTTTTGCTACCGATGGGATCTATTGCACCAGTAAAAGTGAATATCGAATTAATCTTTTCAAAATGGCACTTAAAAAAGATCTAGAATCTATGAGAGAGGACGTAAAGCAAGTATTGGGTGTTATTGTTGGATTATTAAAGGATAGAATTAGTGTTGATAATTCCCCATCCAGTAAGAAGGCTAGGATCAAAAAATTTACCGAAAAATAGTTGGTGGATGGTTTACCCGTATTTTCATGTAACTGTTGTACTATATATAACAATAAAATAACCGTGATTCAACCATAGTTCAACTCGAGTTTAAATTTTATTATAGAATAAATATTGTTTTATCAAACCAAACTTTAACCAGAGTTCATACAGGCAATTTCTTTCATACAAATTTTCGATTCTATTTTTCCATGTGATTTGCGTAACTTTGCTGTGACAAGCTTGTCACACTTCTTCCAATAAAAATCAACGATATACCGGATATCACGGGCTTATCTTATAAATACCCATACTGATTATCAACGCGTCGCGTTTACCCCTGCTAAAGTCAACGGAACATTTTGCTTTGCAAACATGAACACATCTACAAAATCGATACCCATTATTAAGGCTTTTTATAATGATACCGCGATCGAGAACTGGACATGCGTTAATATGGTAGAATATTATCATGCGAAATCGGGAAAAAGGAATCTGAAAACCATAATGGATTGCATAAAAAAGGATCTTCAAGAGGTAGCAGATCCAAATTCTGAATTTGAAATAACGCACAAAAGAAAGGCTCGGGAGATCCTTGACGATTGGAAGGTACGTTCGATAATGGGATAGAGATTGAGAGAGCTAAGAGCTTAGTCCAACAGTAATGAACTGCTCGTTCGACGCTTAGCGCAAGCTGGGACTGCTGGTCTCCAGTGATGAACTGCTTGTTCGACGCTTAGCGCAAGCTGGGACTGCTGGTCTGAAGGATAGCTATTAGTTCGACGTTTCTTTTGCTTTATATTGTTATTAAGAAATTTCTTCTCGCAAGTATTGTTGTTAATTCTGTTCTTTAAGAAATGGTCTACACAGAAGAAAAACTTGAAGCGTTCCAGTGGCGTGAATATTGTGAGTTTGCAAGTAAAGAAGATCAAGCAGTTCGCTGGAAATCACGCAACCCAAGTCATGGGTAATAATATAACTTTAGGAACAAAAATGGTACATATGTCCATTTTTTTTTAGCTAGAAGTTGAGAATTAGGACCAATTATTTTGTATTTAACACTTTAGGACGAACAGGCCAAGGATCAATCACCACATACTCCTCCATATCAAATTTTTTCGTCGGATGCTTTCGTTCAGCAACAGAGCAGTAATGAAGGATCAAATGGTCAAGAGTTTTCGGATTCGGATTCCACTTATTCCAATTTCGATTACGAAAAAGATAACTTACGGACAATAGAACAAATACAAAATTACGAAGTTGATAACGAAGATGCTTACATAAAAAGTATTCAATTATCTCAGGAGGTAGTCACTTTGTTTGCATAACTTTAAAATTACAGCGTATCTCATCTGGTCTCTAATTATGTTCTATCCTCATGAATTTCACAGAATGCAACGGAAGAAATCCGTAATATTATCTCCAAAATAAAACGTGTCAAATGTCGTCTCTTTGAATATCGGGTTATTAATCTTTAGGCACGAGATGCCTCAGATCCCGTTAATAAGTTACCTAAATCTGACAAGCGCCTTTTAAAGAAGTTCTGGAATTCGGTATTATATTTTGCTTACAAGCTTAACATTTCATGCAATTTTACTTATTCTTCTTCAAGTGAAACAAAGACAATCCGTAAAGACAAATGGGATAAAGATTTACAGCCTCTCTTAAAAAAATATCAAGCTCATTTTGAGGGTAAAACAGTGTTCAACACAATTTTGTTGGATAGTGCCATCGAGGATGTTCTTGCAAAGCCTTATACAGGCACTTTTATACATAAAGAACATTTTGATCTAATATGGATCCAGGATATACACAAACGTTTGTAAGTATAACATTTATTATTACTGTTACTTCCACTAGTGGCATATTTAATACTTTTTATTTTTTAGTTTGTTTATTTTTCAAGAACCTATTAATTCATTGTGTGGTTCTGAACAAACTGAACTTTCATACCGAGAAGATTTTGTCAATCCGATAATCGCAAAAGTTTTTGATGACGTTAAGGATCTAATTCGAGTGAAGACGTGAGTTTGAGCTCATTATTGTTAGGATAAAATTTTCATCATCTTTAGTTTCTAACAGGTTGTGACTTTTTGTAGGGGAGAAGTTGAAAACACATTAAGCAAAAATCAACGAAATGAAACCCGGCAATATAAACAAAGAGTTCAAATTGGGTGTTACCAAGACGGGATCTATAAAATCAACATAAATGCTACTGTTTTTGAAATAAGTTTCTTAGAAATTGTTGGAAGTGCTATTTATATCGACGTTACAAAGCTAAAAGAAGACACCGAAAAAGTATTTAAATGTATGCAGATATCTATTTTCTATCAACGTCAACACCATTTACAACGTGGAGCAACGGAAAAACAACTCACTTCTTTAGAGTCATATGGAATAATAGTATATCGTAAGTTGAAAAATATTTATTGCCATATACATGTATTATATTAAAGTTAATGTAATCCTTATGCTCCTTTTATCAACGTTAGAACGAACATTTACAATTTATATCATGCATCGGACAAATGGAGGAATATGTGTAATTATTTTCGAAGGCGGACAGGAAGTTTTCGGGCCCCAGAATAACTCCCCGAAAATTCATATTATAATACGTATATACAATATAAATTCTAAAAATAGATTCGGTCCCTAAAATTTATATTGTATATACAATATTGAAAAGGTATACAGTACCCTTACTACGGACGTCACGTAACGAAATTTGCGCGAAATTCGCGAATCTATAAAAACCAACATTAATATTTAGCGGAATTAACTTTATTTTAATATAATATGTAATAAAAACTTTATTTATATAATTAATAAGTATTTATTAATATAATTTAATTAAATATAAAATAGAACTTGCATGGGAGGAAATAGCTGGATCCAAAGCCATATATAGCTATTCCTATATTTTAGGTTTTATTTTATATTGTTGATAAATTATATTTCCATTGGAATAGGAAAATTTGATGTTTTTTCTATTCTAGTAATTAATCTTTGCCTACTTTTATTACCCATTATTGTTGAAGTGTTTGTTAGTTGTCTAGATGGTGCATATTTTGTTTTTCTTGTATCTTTAATTATTTTTATCTTAAAAGGAATTTCTAAATAATTTTCAAAATTAAATATATTAAGAGTTGAAGCATATAATTTATTATTAAATCTTGTAAATGATAAATATGAAAAAAAATTATCTAGAAAAAAACTCTTTCCCATACATAACTTTTTTCTTAAAAATTTTCTTTTATAGTAATTTTTCTTCAAAATTAAAGAAACAAATATTTTTTTCGCCTTTCAATATTCAAAAGTTCTTCACACTTCCTCTTTCTTTACTACAAGAGCCTTAAGGAAACCAAAGAAATATACTGATGCATCGGGATAGGACCTCTAGCCAAAGAAAAGTAAGTTTGGGGACCTTGCTTTTTCTTTGGTTTGCATAAGAAAAGGCCTGTGACAATTACTTCTTTATAAATCTTCCTTGGGATTTTTCATATTTTCTTTTCATATCAATATACAAATCTTTTTAAATAACTATACTTTCTGCTTGGAGGATTTCTTTTTATCTCAAAAAACTAGACTTCACATCAAAATTATTTATATTGTTAACTTGAAGCATCAACAATATATTCAATGTTTACTTTATACTATCACTCAGCATATTTTACTATACCACCAAAAACCAAAAATTTTCACTCAAAAAAATTCTTACCAAAAAACCATAATTAGTTTACTCCTGTTAACTAATTGATATTTCAAATTCAACCAATCAAATACTACCAAATCTCAAAGCAATTCTATATAACCAAAACACCATATAACGATTGACATAAACAAATCCTATTTTAGTAACATCAATTAAAACAAGATCACATCACCAAAAAATAAACCAATCAACATATCAACAAAAATATTAACAACTATAACAACAACATATAATTCAAATAATATGTCAACAATATTATTATTTACTTTGGACAGTAGCCTGGTCATTTCTGGAAGTAGTATCATACTTCAATTAAATGGATTAACCAGCATGGCATGCCTAATCCAAGGCATTCTTTGTATAATAATTAGTCTTTTTTTCACTTTTTTTCCAATCATCACCAAATATCTAAATATAAATAACTATACTACTACTACCATTAACAATGACTCAAGAAACAGCTGTCAAGAAAACATATCATCAATACTATTATATACTATGAGCTGTAGCCTAGCCATTCTGGAAAATGCAATGGTACTTTAGAGAAATGGAATCATCAGAGCAACATTAGGCTTTATTTGTATTATAATTAATTTTTTTGTTATTTTTCTTTTATCTAGCATTTTCTTTTTTCACTTTCATATTTTTTTAAATTTTATTTCATATAATCCTGAGTAGGTATTTATAGTTGCTCAACACTATCTTAGATATACAATGGTTGCAAAAAAGATTTGGACTTTTCTTATGACTAATAAAAAACTTGTAAAATAAACTTTATTTGTGCAAAAATTTGTGAAAATAACAACAATTGTCATAAAAAAAAATACATAAATATCAATAGTCAGATTTTTTTCCTTTCCTTTCAATTACTTGTTCAAGATAGTTTTTCATACTACTGGCTAAATTAAGGTAAAGGTCTTGATCTAAACTGTTCCATTCTTTTTGAATATCAACTGAAAATCAGTAGTGCTAAGTTTTTTTTTTTATAAGCCTATTGTTTATGGTTTTCTCTACTCTATTTTTTAGTATGGCCCATAGGTTCTCTATGGAATTCAAATCAGATGAATTCGAAGGCCAGTCGAACATTCGAACATGGTGATCTTCAAAAAGCTGACGTGTAACCTGAGCTGTATGGACGGAAGAGTTTTGTTGAAAATGCCAGCTACAACCTGCTCACAAAGCATTAGAGAAAAAGTGGGTTTCAAGAATTTTGCAGTATTTTTGTGAGTTAAGGTTTTCTGTAAATAAAACCAGTGCGATTGGCCCCGTGCAGAAAACGCTTCCCATGCATGAATTTTGAATAGGTGTTTTACTATGCTATGGTACAGACGCGAGCTTCCACGATAGTACCTTACTTGTTGTGTGTTTCTGAACATTTGTAATATTTTTTCGTTAGAAAAAATTATGCTAAACCACCTGTCTTGCACATGTTCATGACCCATTCGAGACAGGCAGCAATATGGAAGGGTTGGAGAAGGGGAACATATAATGGTGGCAAACAATATATTGGAGATCCTTTTTAAGAACTTCCTGGATAGTATGAACTAATATATTTAAGTTGGGATAGGTTTTATTAAGTCTGGCAACCGCTTCAGTGGCAGTAACTGTATTATTGGCTGGTATGAGTTGCTTGAGATGACAATGCTCTTTCACCATAAGAATTTTGGGTCTTTCAGGAATGGGAAGTGGGACAAGGGTACCTCTTTTTTTGAGTCGATTTATATGATCATATGTTGTGCTCTTTGGAAAACCTGTAATTTATATGATTTCAGGAGGTTTTCTTATACTATTATCTCATAACTGCCTTACAACCATTCTTTGCGCAGTGAGATCAGTGTTGGATGACATTATTCGTGTCTAGTACTAATTTGGCAGCTTAAAATAGTGAGTTATTTATATAAACCAATGTGCATGAGTCATTTAATATAAATGACTTATTACAAAAATGTACTTACCCAGAATTCGATTGTCATCACACTTTTTGTATAATGAAATAAAAGTCCAAATCTTTTCTGCACCCACTGTACATTTGTTTTAATATTTATTTTCCATGTCACTTAGATAGTTTCTATAGACAAGCTAACATTAGACTTATTAGTTTAGCCAGTTATATAAGAGATGTTGTCGCTTTCTCTATGTATAAATTTTAAACAATTTTATGATTAATAAAGTGATAATGTTTATCTACTTAAAAAAAGAAAAAAGAAAAAAAGTTATCTATAATTAATTTATGAATGTTAATTCTAAATTAAATATGTAAATAAGTATTAAAAATAATATTAAAAAAAATTGGGTTTTGCTTTCAAAAAAATTAATTAATTCTTTTCCCCCCCCTGCGGAAAGTCCCACCTGATGTGTGGACACATCTCCGGGTGTTTAAATGAACGCATAGTCGGGTTATAGTGGTTGGCGTAGCTAGTCTTATAGCAATATATGTACTAATGCAGTGTTAATCTGCAGATTAACTGTAGAGACATAACAGGTATCCATGTACCAAACCAATTACTGGTTAATTTGTAGAGACACTTGGTGTCTATCTGGATATTAAATGTATCAATAAAGATTACATGCCTTGTGCATGTTCCACTTTAAAAAAAAAAAAAAAAAGAATTTTCAGATTTCTTGAATGTTCAACTTCTTAAGAAATAATTTTAGCCTGTTATCAATTGTTGTATTAATTATTTTCCAGTTTTTGTTATAACTTTTTTTGAAGTTATAATGAATAGTAGATATTTTTTAAAGAGTTTTATTATTAGGAAATTAAATAGTATAAGTGTAATTATTTTGTAATTACTGTAAAAATTTAATTTGATATTTATTATTTGATTGTAAGGCAATATTATTTGAAATTCAGATTTGATCAATACAGCTTTGACCTGTAGATTCTGTATATACTGTATATATATAGTTTTGTATAAATAAAAGAGGTATAATATATTAATATAGTTTTTGTTTAATTTTTTGTATATGGTTGCTTTGTACTTTGGCTCAGTTTTTTGGATTCTGTCAATTAACTTTGGTATTAAGTTGAAGTCTCTTATGAGAATATGTGAGATATTTTTTGAAAAATTATTATTATTAAGTATTTGAAAATAAGAGATAATTTTTTTTTTTTTGTAAGTAAACATTATTTCTTTATTTGGTTTGTATATATCAAGGTATATATTGTGAAAGAAACAACATCTCTCATATACAAGTACAATGAGTTAAATGCTAGCTTGTCTACAGTAACCATTTGACTAATATTGAAAAGAAAATTTAAAACAATATATCTTGTCAAAAGGTACCGAGCAGCTATGAATACCTACTCAGTATTAAGGGAAGAGGTGTTAGGTAATATAGATATTAATTTCTGAATATATTTGGGATAATTATATTTACATTGGATTAACGTATTAGCAACTATGTTAAATAAATCAATTATAATTTCTTCAGGAGAAGTAGTAGTTGGTTGGATTTTGGCTTGAGAATCATAGTTGTTGAATGGTTTAAAAGAGTGAGATGGTGTGAAAAGTTTATTAAAGTTCTATTTAATTCTGGTAGCTAGTAACATATTGATTATAGAGCAATGTAGTTTTCAAATAAGGTTGTATAACTGGGTTATGGCTTCATTAGCTGCTTCGATCCAGTTGGAGAAGTCTGTTAAGAAAAAGATTTTATCTGTAAAGTCGCAAGATAATTCGGCTACT